ATCTCCATATAAATTTCACAAACTTCAAAATAAAATATATAATCTTCCTGCTTTTCCTTTCTTAAAATTAAACATTTTCTCAGGGTTGAGTTTCACATCACAACTTAAAAAATACTTCCTAAGCAAAAAAAAAAAGTGCCGTGACCAGGATTCGAACCTGGGTTATTGCGGCCACAACGCAATGTCCTAACCACTAGACGATCACGGCAGGTGACAACTGGACACTTACAGGGCTACTTGAGGTGAGGAACAATGTCACGTGATATAAAGAGACATGCATCAATTATCCTTTCTTCCTCTTATTTAAATCCTTCACTATGTCCATTATAAGTCAATTGTTCCATATCTGTACTCATTGAAATATACATTGAGAGAAAATATAACTTTTTAAAAGCTGTTTAGAAGTGCAATTATTTTCTGTGGATTAAACTAAATGACACCGATATACAAATGGCCACTCTGTACCACGTGACCTTATTTTTCTCTTCAAGTAGTCCTGTAAGTGTCCAGTTGTCACCTGCCGTGATCTTCTAGTGGTTAGGACATTGTGTTGTGGCCGCAATAACCCAGGTTCAAATCCTGGTTACTGCACCTTTTTTTAAAAGAATAAATATTATTCAAGTTTTGATTAAAGATTTACTTTGGGAAATGCATGATGTCAGCAACACATAGCATATCCCGCAATTACCAAAATTTTAAGGATTCGAACCTGGGTTATTGCGGCCACAACGCAATGTCCTAACCACTAGACGATCACGGCAGGTGACAACTGGACACTTACAGGACTACTTGAGGTGTGGAATATGGTCAGGCGATGTATTCAACCTTTTCATACGTCATCCAAAAGTTAGAAATATTAAATTATTTCTCTTTGAAATTAAAAATGATTTTTCATAAATAAAAAGAAACTTATGCGGTTAAACTGGTTGTATAGCTTTATAATTATACGCCGCAGTCATTTATAAGTATTATCAAAAAGAATCTTACGCCTTTAAAATAGTTTCGAATTTTGATAACAGATGGCGTGCTAGTGCATCATATCATAAATGTTCTAAAAAAAGAAACAATTTGATATTTGCGGAAGAGCGATTGCTCGAAGCATATTATATATTTATAAATGTATGTAATTCTACTGTCCTCTAAGCTTATGTCCATAGTTCTTCTGAAATACTCATTCAAAGAGTCAATCAACAGTATCACTATAAAAGGAAGTTCCAAAAATGCAATATAACAGCGGCATGGTAGATTAAACTGGCGAAACCGCTGAGAGGGTTCACCACTGATGAGCCAGGCCCTCTCATTAATTTTTCCATTGCAGTAAGGGCAGTAGAAATTGTTTAATATCAAAAAGAATCTTACGCCTTTAAAATAGTTTCGAATTTTGATAACAGATGGCGCGCTAGTGCATCATATATTGGTCTCTTCAGGGATATTAAAAATTGGTTACTTTACTTCTGAATAATATCGCTATAACTTGGTCGATCAAACAGAAGAGAAAATATCTAAACAGAAATACTAAAATTGCATGAAAATCTCTATGTATTTTTCACACACTTTTAAAATAAAATATCTATTCATTGATTTCTCGCCCAAAATAAAACACGGTTATAAAGTTGAGTCTTGCATTACAACTTGATAATTAATTCCAATTAAAAAAAAAAAGGTGCCGTGACCAGGTTTCGAACCTGGGTTATTGCGGCCACAACGCAATGTCCTAACCACTAGACGATCACGGCAGTTGACAACTGGACACTTGAAGGACTACTTGAGAGGAGGAACAAGGTCACGTGATATAAAGCGACATGCATTAATTCTCTTTGCTTTTTCCTGTTTACAACTTTTATTGTGTACAATTTGAGTCAATGGTTTCATATCTGTACTCATTGAAATATACATTGAGAGAAAATATTATTATTTAAAACCTGTTCAGAATTGTAATTGTTTATCTCTGGAATAAACTACAAGACAGTGGTATACAAATGGCCACTCTATCACACGTGACCTTATTTTTCTCCTCAATTCATCCTATTTCCAACCTTCACAATGTCGATTGTAAGTCAATTGTTTCGTGTGACTCACGGCAATAAACATTGAGTGAAAATAATTATTTGAGAGCTCTTAGAAGTGCAATTGTTTTTCTCTGAAATAAACGAGAAGACAGCGATGTACAAATGTTCATTCTGCATCACGTGACCATTTTCTTCCCCTCATGTAGCCCTGTAAGTGTTCAGTTGTCACCTGCCGTGATCGTCTAGTGGTTAGGACATTGCGTTGTGGCCGCAATAACCCAGGTTCGTATCCTGGTCATGGCACCTTTTTTATTATTTAGATATTTTTGTAATGAAAGATTTAACCTTGAGAAGTGTATGATATTCACATAGTATTGAATATCCCAAAATTGTCTGCGTGCCAAGATTTAAAAAAGTGTCAGCCAATTAAAATACAATACCCTGAAGATATGCTATATCAAAGTACCAAAATATATAAGTAAGGATTGAATGAAATTATAGCTTTGCGACCGTTCTTGTATGGCCCTAATTGTTGACAATAACTTATGCGATAGGGGTTGATATTAAAAGAAATATTTTCCAAATGTAGGCTTGGAATATGTCATTTTTGGATTATAACATATATTCACAGAGTAACAACATCTATTGAAATATATACAACAATAAACAACATATAAAAATAAAATACTTTATCTTCGCTTTTCCTCGCTTAAAATAAAAACTATCAAAAAAATAAATATATTTTTACATTACAACTTAAAACTATTTCCAAAAAAAAAGGGTGCCGTGACCAGGATTCGAACCTGGGTTATTGCGGCCACAACGCAATGTCCTAACCACTAGACGATCACGGCGGGTGTCAAATAGACACTTACAGGACTACTTGAGGGTAGGAATAAGGTCTCGTTGATGTAGACCGACTTTGATGCAACCCTCCTATTTCTAACTTTCACAATGTTCATTGTGAGTAATTGTTTCATGTTTGTGCTCACAGAAATAAACATTTCGCGAAAAAAAAGGGAAATATTTTTTCTGTAAACTATAAGAAGGCGAGGTAAAAATGGCCACTTTGTATCACGTGACAATATTCTTCCCCTCAAGTAGCCTTGTAAGTGTCCAGTTGTCACTTGCCGTGATCGTCTAGTGGTTAGGACATTGCGTTGTGGCCGCAATAACCCAGGTTCGAATCCTGGTCACGGCACGTTTTTTTATATAAATGAATATTTTTTCATCATTTGTAATTAAATAAATACCTTTGTGTAAATTTTTAATGTCAACATAGTACAGAATTACCGCAATTGCCAAATTAAAAATATGTATATTTTGAGATGTAATTCGCTTCCAGCCAATTAAATTTTGATTTATTTATGCTTATGAGGTGATACAGCAACATCTTTACAATTAGAGAGGAGACAAAATGAACCAAATCTAGAAAAAAGAAGTGAGGACATATCGGTCATTAAAGTCTGAGAGGCAAGGCCTTCAGCCAGTTCAGGGCTTCCGGGGTGACAGAGTGGAGATTGGAGATTCCTCCATTGAATTTGTACAGCGGGCAGTCGTCTAGTATATGGGACATTGATTGTGGGACGTTGCAGGCACAATTTGGATCTTTGGTGTAGCCCCATAACTTCATCAGCTCTGCAAATTTTGATGTGTTAAAGATATGCATAACAAAGTATCGTAAATTATAAGTGCAAATAGATGATATTGCAACTTTGCGACCGTTCTAGGATGACTCTCATTGATGATAATAACTGATGTGATAGGGTTGATATTCAAAGCAAGAGTTTTCAAATGTATGCTTGGAATATATTTTTAAATACAAAATTTTTCACAGAGTAGCAACATATCTCTAGGTGAACTCCATTGTCAAAAAGGATTACTACTCTTATTTATTTTTTCAATAAATAACAGTACATTCTATTTATTTGTATGTGTTACTCAATTTATATTTATCTCACTTTTTAAATTTAAATATTTGGAACATATATATTAGATAAATAAAAGCATATATTGTGTTATATATATAAACAGAAATGTACCATTTTATTAACAGCCATTTCGTGCCGATTCTACACTTTGTTAGAGTTGATCCTTTATAGCTGCAAGTGGTATATAAAAAATGAAGGCTCTAACTGTTTTCGCAAACTGGCGGAATAGGGTAGGCTGTGACAAAGTTACAACACCATTTTCCCTCGATCCCAGTCCCCTAGTTGGAGTAGATGGTCACTAGATGAAACTTAGTTAAAGGTTAATTTTGATGTGAGAAAGATGAACTTTTAATTATATATTTAAATAAGGAAAATCGCGATAATTTATAATTCAAATATGATTTCAACGAACGTTTATTGAGGAAAAACTTTTAAAATTAAATAAGGGTACCATTGTTCTCTTTTAAATATGCTTGACATGTTTGTTAGGTGAGACTTGAAATCAATTTTTGAACGATGTTTAATAAAATTATAAAACAATAATCCTTACTGTGATGATAACATTTTGGAAGGGCCTATTTCATGAGTAATGGACTCTCAAAGCTGCTCCGCCAATTTAATCTACCAGGTTTATATGTATAGTGTCTGTTTTATTCGCTCACTTCTCTAAGACAACTTCTTCAAAAGTTATCGTTTACAAAGAGTGTTTATTTTTGTCTGAATATTATCTTCAATGTTTTTCGAAATTTACCATTTGATTTGTGTAAAGTGACCGTTTAAAATATAGTTTGGTCTCTTTAGAGATATTCAACCTTGTAGTTGATTTTCTAAATTAATTACACTCTATCTTCTGAATGATAGTGCGTTCTCTCTTCAACTTGCTTGTTAGCACGGGGAAAAAATAGCTAAACAGAAATGCTAAAATTGCCTGAAAATATTCATATATTTCACACACTTCGAAAATATATAATCATTGCTTCTTTGTTCAAAATAAAACAGATTTACGAGTTAAATCTCACTTTACATCTTATAAAAATATTTCCAATTAGAAAAAAAAAGGAGCCGTGACCCGGGTTCGAACCTGGGGTTTTGCTGCCACAACGGAATTTCCTAACCACTAGACGATCACAACAGTTGACAACTGGACACTTACAGGATTACTTGAGGAGAGGAATATGGTGCCATAGCTTAAGTCGACAGGATCACACACCATATATATATATTCCTAAAGTGATATTTTTCCACTCAGTGTCCATTTTCTACTGGATATTATTGGTCAATGTATATTGAAAAGAATAGCTTGATTTGTGTAAAGTCACCGTTTGGAATATAGAATTTATCAAATAGTTTGCATAACATAAGTTTTATTTTTGGGTAAGCACGTATTGTTACCTTATATTGTCTAACCTTGGACCTTTTTTAGCATCAGAATTATAAATGATATTCATTATTTCTTCTTCTTCGATAATAATTATACTTGAATTATTCATTGGTGGCTTAATATTTCTAATTATTTTTTGTTGAAAATTGTCCAAATTAGGATTTTCTTCAGGAATTAAATCGTCCATTGATTTGGTCATTGTTTGCTCTTTTAAATATTCTGGTATTTGTCAATCATGGGAATTCCATTCTGCACATTTGATGATCTTAATTTATTGAAGAACATATGGGCATTACCAAATGGATTATCTGTGTAGTTATCTTCAACGACGTATCGCCAGTTAGTTCTTTTAGCTTTTTTTGTTGCATTAGTGTATTTGGTTCTTGCCAAAATGTATTTAGTATAATTAATTGTTTTATGACGGTAATACAAGTTTCTAATATAATGAAAATTATTTTTCATTATTTCCAGTTCATTAGTTCAACAGTTAATTCTGGAAATATGTTTATTAATGGAGGATTTAACTTTCAGATATTTATATGCTGCTTCTCTCAATAAATTCGTGAATGCGCTCACTATCCCATCAATGTCTGCCTCATCTTTTACTCTGCTTATATCAATTTCCAGTTTGTTTGTATCTTGTGATGATATGTTATTAGTAAAATCTGCCCAATTCACACCTTTTTCAAAGAATTTCCAGGTGAATATTTAATTATTGAATAAATGACCATTCTTAAACCTGATTTCAAATTCAACAGCAACATGGTCTGAAATAATAGTCATATCAGAGGTATGTCAGTTATTTATTAAACAAAGTGAGTGTTTATTCGAGATTGTGAGATCAATTATACTTACTCCGCGGCAGGTGGGTGTTTTCGGGTTATGTAAAAAGAGGTTACACTTGTCTATAATAGGTTGTAATCTATATCCATTAGAGTTTCCAACATTGTCAAACCTCATAGTATGTCTTGAATTAAAATCACCGGAAAGGATTACAGGTTGATTTATATATGTTTTGAGCAGTTCTCAATTAAATTTTTGATGAACAATATTAAAAGTATCCGGATGGATGTAGAAATTAGAAATATTTATTTTTGCTTTAACTGTATAAATAGATATTATTGTACAAAAATAATTTGTGAAATTTTCCTTTTTACTGAACTTTATATTTTTATTTAAAATTATAGTTGCCATATATTTTCCCCCAGTTTTATTCGAACATATAATTTGAGAGTCCATATCATAAATAACATTTTCATGCAATAGATATGGCTCTTGAATTAAAACAATATCAGGTGGGTCATCTCTATCTACTTTTTCTGTTGGATCTCTTAGTTTCGGTTTGTAAATTTTTCTAATAAATTTCAAATGTTCTGATTTGTTTAATTCGCCCAGTAGTATTTTATTATCAGTTTGGTTTGGAACCTTTATAATTAAAGATTTTTTCGCGTTTATAATTCCGATAATCTTAATGTTTTACCATTTTCCTTGACATTTTAAATATTATTAGATTTTTTTTTGAAGTGCATCAGAATTAAGTACACCATCATATAAAGCCACAATTGAAGTAGATTCATCTTTGAATGTCTGCTGTTTTATTTCGATTAGTTCTGCTTCCTGTCGTACTACATGAGCATAAGAAGGCGTCTGTTTCGGAAAAAAAAAGAACTTTATCTAGTTTATTATCTATAGCCTTTTCAATTGTGTCGGTCAAATTATCTATTGATTATTGTTTATTTATCTCAGATATAGATACAATTCCATTTTTTGCTTGGTTAATCATTGAAGATAAGTTTTATCATATTTGTTAGATTTTTATCAGTTTAAAATTTGTTATCAAAATATATTGATATTTCATCGAGTTTAATATCTATTGATTTCAAAATACAATCCATGTCTTCTGTTCAAAAAAAAAGAACAAAAAGTAAAATCTTTTGAAGTGATATTAATACTATACTTAAGATATAAATAATTCAGGACAAAAATATATAATATATTTTAGTTCAATTAAAAAGGCATATATTGGATCAAAAAATCATTTATTCTACCAATATTTCAGTTGGCTGAACGCCAACCTTTATCAAGGTGTTATAACATATTCCATATATATATTTATAATATATATCTTAACATATATATATTGTAACTAAAATTCAAAGAGTATCTCTATATGTAAATAATATTTATGAATCTTTCTAAGTTACTTTCTGTGTATCTTTCCATGTTGCATATTTTCTTTGTTATATTTGTATGTACATTTAGCGCAAGTGTCCCTATGGGGACATAGCGTTTTGAATTGAGATAAATAAATAAATATATATTTATTAGTTTAAATTTAAAAGAGAGGAAAAGAAAAAGTACTTAGCTTAACAAGACGAGCTATGCAAAACACGTCCGCACAGTTGGCAAATGTGCAAATATCACCATATTTTGGTGGCCCAAAAAAAAGAGAAATAATTTCTAAAATATATTTTGAAGACAAAATAAATTGATGAAGATAATATGCCTGCTGACCTGATCAAAATTTCACAATCCCATTTGAAAATTAGGAGAATAATTTCAAATTATAGAACCAGAAAAATATCTAAAACATTATTAAAAGGTTGCCCACAAGGTGGACCATTATCTCCATTGCTTTGGATTATATTTATAAATGATATGTTAACCAAAATACAACTACCAAACTCAGAAATAATTTGCTATGCCGATGATGTCACAACAATATGCTGGAACAAAGATTTAGCAACTCTCAAAAATTCAATTGAGCGTATTTTAGAAAAGGTTGGTGTACAGAAAACAAATTGAAAATAAGTCTTGATAAAACTAGTATTTTACATTTTCATAACAAAGATAAATTTGAAATTAAATTAAAAAATAATATATTACGCCTTTTCAAGAAATAAAATATTTGCGAATTACCTTTGCAAACAATAGAAGAAAGAATAAATTGAATTTTAATTATCATTTGAACATAATACTAAACAGAACTCGAAGACAAAAAAATTTACTTTTTTCGATATGTGGCAAATCTTGTGACCTAAGCACCAAGAAAAGACTCATTTTATACAAAACAATTTTTAGACCGATACTCACTTATAGCACTGAGGTCTGGTATAAATATATAAGTAAAAAGTATAAACAAAAATCCAACTCACTCCAATATCAAATATTATTATGGTGTACACAAAATCATAAAACAACTAGCTATAGTTGTGTGCATACTCTGGCAAATGTTTTTTTTTTTATTACGGATTATGGAATCCAGAAATATAAAATATGATTTGAATATTTTATCGTTTGAGGACCAACAACGTTATGACTTGGATATTCTAGACATACTTGATAATTTTATAAAATATGAAATGGCACTATTGAAGAAAAATACTAACCAAACATTTTAAAGTTTCTTTCCCGCTAATATTCCGAAATATTTTCTGGCAAATTTCTACAACTCTCAATTTATTACAAATCACGGAAATTTTAGAAGATTTTCAAAATTCATCAAAGCAGTACAAGATTCAATGTGCTTCTGTGGATGCGAAGAACAAACTTTTATTCATCTGCTGCCAAATTTGCCATGTCTTCCAAGAGTATAGAATAAACAATGAACTAAATGTATCAAACCTGTTTGATATAATTTCAACAAAAGACAAATATATAAAATTCAACTCATTTTGCAGATTTATTTCTGAATTTTATTTAAAAAAACTACTAAATTACATTGGAACGCTTTTATTTAGAAATTAACTATTTTTAGTATTGTTTTAATTGGATAATTCCCTAATATCTAGCATTATTTCATTCTAAAATATTCCTTAAAACCTTCTTTAATCTGCAAATTGTTTTTTTTAATACAAACAATACTTTACAATCTGATTTCATTTAGCTAAATTTGCATATCAACCCTTTGTACATATATCAATTGTGTTGATATTTTTCTTTTTTCATATAATTAACTTGCATAGTAATTCTGTACATATTTCAAATATCTTTCTTTCTTTCAAAATTTTGTTTATCTTTAAAATGCAAGTGTCCCTAGGGGGACATAGCGCTCTAAGTCGAAATAAAGAATATATGGGAGAGAAAATAGTTAAACAGAAATAATAGCAGAAAATATCTCCATATATTTTTTCACGCACTTCAAAAATATCTAAACTTTTCTTCATTGTTTAAAATAAAACACGGTCACAAAGTTGAGCTTTACATTGCAATATGATAATTAAATCCAAGGAAAAAAAAGGTGCCGTGACCAGGATTCGAACCTGGGTTATTGCGGCCACAACGCAATGTCCTAACCACTAGACGATCACGGCAGGTGACAACTGGACACTAACAGGACTACTTGAGGGGAGGAACAAGGTCACGTGATATCAATTCTCCTTGCTTCCTCCTATTTACAACCTTCACTATGTCCATTATAAGTCTGTTGTTTCATATCTGTACTCATTGAAGTATACATTGAGATATAAAACTATTTAAGAGCTGTTTAGAAGTTCAATTGTTCTTCTGTAGAATAAACTATAATATAGAGATGTACAAAAAGCTATTCTGTACCACGTGACCATTATCTTCCCTTCAAGAAGGCCTGTAAGTGTCCAGTTGTCACCCGCCGTGATCGTCTAGTGGTTAGGACATTGCGTTGTGGCCGCAATAACCCAGGTTCGAATCCTGGTCACGGCACCTTTTTATAATTTTAAGATTTTTTTAAAAATTGTGATTGAAGAATTGATTTCGGGAGAGTATATAATATA